CATCCTTCTTCTTTCCTTCGCCGTCTCTCCTTTTCCCCTCATCACTACTCCCCCCTCCCGCTGTGCCCCGGCCAAGCCCTTGCTTCCGCCCGCACGGCTTGGCGTTGGACGCCACCGGTACTAGAGTTGAATTCCGGCCACCGACAAAACATCGCTTCGTCTACCTTCTCCGTCTCGTCACACCTCCATCACACTCCTCCCACAATGTCCTTGCCCGTCCCCGGCGGCACGGCGGGGTCGAGGAACCGCATATCATCTCGCTTTGAAGGTATCGATGACCTTTCGTACGTTGAGCTCGCTCTAAAAGATGCGCAGCGGCGACCCTGCAGGTCGTCCATCGCGGGCAACCTTGGAATGCACCTCGCTGACTGTGCGCAGAGCTCTGCCTTCCATTGCAGAGGACACCATCTTGGCCGCGCTCCGTGAGCGCTATGTCACGTCGCAACAGTACACTGCTGTTGGGGCATCGGCGATCGCCTCCGTTAATCCCCTCGTCTCCCTACCCCAGAACAGCGACATCTCCCTCCAAGACTACATTCATGAGTACTTCAGATCGGCCGGCGACGACGTTGTCGGCGAGGATGAGGTCAGCTCCAAGGAGCGCTTGCCCCCACATATCTTCCGCCTCGCTCTCAATGCGTTCTACAACATGCGCCGGACGGGACAAGACCAGATCCTACTCATGAGGTAATATTCGCCAGCGCTACAGGCACTGACGCTCGCAGCGGTGCGACGGGCTCCGGAAAGTCCGAACTGCGCCGCCTTGCCGTCAAGGCCATCGCCGAGGTGTCCGCCGCTCCTCCGGGCAAGAAGGCGCACAAACTGCCTGGCCAGATTGCCAATGCTCACGTACGTGGGGTGCCGCGCGCCGCTGAGCTACCAACTGACGTCCATGCAGTTCATCCTCGAATCTTTTGGCAACGCCCAGACCATCAGCAACGAGAATGCTTCGCGCTTCGGCAACTACACTGAGATGCAGTTCAACGACCGTGGACGTCTGGAAGGCATGAAGACCCTCGAGTACTACTTTGAGCGCACTCGTGTGTCCCAGACGCCCGCCGCGGGAGAACGCAATTTCCACGTCTTCTACTACCTTGTGAACGGTATAGAGGGCGAGGATCGACAGCACCTTCACCTGGGCCAGGTTAGCGACTATCGCTACCTGCAGTGTCGCGCTCGGCGCAGCGGCCCCACTGACCGCGAGCGTTTCTCGCAGCTCAAGAATGCGTTCAAGGCATTGGGCATGTCAACGCGCCTCGTGGCGCAGGTCTGCCAATTGCTCGCCTGTGTCCTTCACATCGGCAACCTTGACTTCATTGACGAGCCGGGTATGCACGAGGGCGCCGCTGTCGCAAATGAGCACGTGCTTCAGCTTGTCGCCGAGTTCTTGGGTGTTTCGTTGCCCGCACTGAAGGAGCTGTTCGCGTTCAAGACGCTGCTCCTAGGCAAGGAATCGGTCACCACATTCCTCAACGCCGAGCAGGCTGAGGATGTCCGTGACGAGCTCGCGCGCTCACTCTACTCGCTGCTGTTCTCTTGGCTGAACGAGAATATCAACCAGAAGCTCTGCAAGGAGAACTTTGCCGCTTACATCACCCTCCTCGACTTCCCGGGTCTCCAGAACAACTCCGGCCCTACCCTCGGCGTGAATTCGCTGGACCAATTCTGCTTCAACTTTGCCAACGAGAAGCTCCAGAACTGGATCCTCCATCGCATCCAGGAAGCTCCTCTAAAGGAAGCTGCCCAGGACAAGATGCCATGCGAGCGCGTCCCCTACTACGACAACACTGAGTGCCTCAAGATGTTGTTTGCACCGAAGACAGGTCTTGTCGCCATTGCCGATGAGCAGGCGCGCAAGAAGAAGACGGATGCGAGCATGATTGAGACGATGGCGAAACGCTACACAGGCCACTCGTCGTTCCAGATCGGCAATCTTGATCGGAGCGGCGCGTCGTCATTCACTGTCAACCATTATGGTGGCCCTGTCACCTACTCTGCCGAGTCCTTCCTTGACCGTAACGCGAACGACGCGGGCGCCGACCTCCTTCGTCTTCTGCGTGGCAGTGTCACTGGACCCAGTAACGTTCCGGACCACCAGGGGTCTAACAACCCCTTCATCCGCAACTTGTGGTCGTCTAAATCAATCGCCACTCAGGCGCACCCTCGCAACGACGACACCATCGTCGGTGCCCAGCAGCCGATGCGCCCTATGCGAGCACCCTCTACTCGCCGCAAGCGCGGGCCCAGGCTCTCGGCTGTGACTGAAGAGGATGGCAATGACGATGCTGTCGGCGGAGGCAACGACTCTGGAACTGCGGGTACCCATCTGCATTGTGTTGCTGGACAGCACCAACAGGCGATCAACAGTCTGTTCGACAGTATTGAGTCGGCGCAGTCATGGTTCTGCTTTGCCCTCCGTCCTAACGACTCGCAGCTGCCTGGCCAAATCGAGGCGCGCTCCATGCGTGCTCAGATTCGAAGTCTCGGACTCACGGAGATTGCCTTGCGCATGCGCATCAACTACGAAACGCGCATGACTCACCAAGAGTTTTCCGACCGGTACTTCGACGAGTTCACCGAACGCGCGATCGGAAACCAGGCAGCGGCGGCTGACCGCATCAGAGACTTCAAGAGAGTTCTCAAGCTGAGTGATGTCGACATGGCCGTTGGATCCGACCGGGTCTTCCTATCCCATCGTGCTTTCCATCGCTTCGAGGACCGGCTGCGTGAGGCGGAGGGGCTTGAGCTGCCTTCTCACCTGCAAGCCCCCCTCACTCGCAACGACCCCTTCGCACCTGGCATGCGCTCCTCGTCGCCTGAGCCTGAGCCTGTCTTTGACTTCAATGACCGCAATGACTCTTTGGCGGCATTACCCCTCGTGGCCAACGCTGAGCCGGCGCCTCGCGGAGGCGGTCCAGGCTCCGACTTTGATGGTGACTCGCGCAACTTTGCCATCAGCCAAGCAACGAGCCCGTTCGGCGATTCTCAGTCGAACCTCGGCACCGAGTCGTATGCTCCGTCACGGGCCATGTTCCGCGACGCGGACCTCAAAAGGGCGAACCGCGGCGAGCGCGACGTCCTCGACGCTCTACCGGACGATAACGAGGTCAAGGAGGAGTACAAGGAGTCACGCGCGCGTCGGCGCTGGGTCTGGCTTTGTTGGTTCCTCACATGGTGGTGCCCGGACTTCCTTATCGCGAAGGTCGGCCGTATGAAGCGACAGGACATTCGCCAGGCGTGGCGCGAGAAGCTAGCCATTAACCTTATCATTTGGTTCATTTGCGGCTGCACGATCTTCGTCATCGCCGGCCTTGGTCTCGTCATTTGCCCCCGCCAACATGTATACACAAAGGCCGAGCTGGCCTCGCACAGTTACAAGGACAAGCCCACGCAGGCTTACACCTCGATCCGTGGCGAGGTCTTTGACATGACCAAGTACTGGAAAACGCACCAGTCCATCGTACCTATTGTCGATCAGAAAACGTACTTCACCTACGCTGGCAAGGAGGCAGAGGTTCTGTTCCCTGTTCAGGTGTCCGCCGTCTGTGGCGGCACGGAGGGGGCCATCAGTTCATACGTGACTCTCGACTCGGTCAACTCGACGGACGTCTACGCCAAATACCATGACTTCCGCGCTTGGACCAACGATTCGCGTCCCGACTGGTACACCGAGCAGATGATCATGCTGCGCTCGCGGTACCAGGTTGGCTGGATGGGGTACACCAAGAAGGACATCAAGTCGATGTCGGGGCAGCGGAACGTCGTAATTTACGACGACCATGTGTACGACATGACCAACTACATGAGGCAAGATGGTGGCGGTACTCACCTCATGGGCAACGGCCAGGCCGACGCCCGCGCCGAACAGGACCGCCAGTTCATGTCCCGCTCGATCATTGACCTGTTCGAGTACCACAAGGGCGAGGATGTTACTCGACTCCTGGAGGAGGATGTTCGGAGGGTCGTGGGTGACGAAGTACTGCGCTTGCAGAAGCAGTGTCTGCGAAACCTCTTCATCATCGGCAAGCTGGACACGCGTGACTCGACTCAGTGCCAGTTCTCGACATACATTCTACTCGCCCTATCTTGCGTCATGGTTGCTGTTATTGCCTTCAAGTTCATCGCCGCCATCCACTTCGGTCCCTCGCGTGCTCCCGAAAACCATGACAAGTTTGTCATCTGCCAGGTCCCGTGTTACACAGAAGGCGAGGAGTCTCTGCGGCGCACCATCGACTCGCTGGCCAAGCTGCGCTATGACGACAAGCGTAAACTGCTTTTCATCATCTGTGACGGCAACATCAAGGGTTACGGTAACGAGAAGCCAACACCGGCTATCGTCTTGGACATTCTTGGTGTCGATCCCAACCTTGATCCCGAGCCGCTGTCCTTCCAGTCTCTGGGTGAGGGCGCGAAGCAGCACAACATGGGCAAGGTGTACGCGGGTTTGTATGAGTGCTCCGGCCACGTCGTTCCCTACGTTGTTGTTGTCAAGGTTGGCAAGCCCACGGAACGCCCCAAGCCCGGAAACCGTGGCAAGCGTGACTCGCAGATGCTGCTCATGCACTTCCTCAACAAGGTTAGCTCACCCCCACCAATCTTGCTGACACTCAGGTTCACTATAACTCGCCGATGAACCCCCTTGAGCTTGAACTCTACCACCAAATCAAGAACGTCATCGGTGTCAATCCAAGCTTCTACGAGTACCTATTCATGGTCGATGCCGACACCACGGTCCAGGAGCTGTCGCTCAACCGTCTGGTTTCGGCTTGTATGCACGACAAGAAGATCATTGGTATCTGCGGCGAAACCTCGATCACCAACGCCAAACAGTCGATCGTCACCATGTCGCAGGTGTATGAGTACTTCATCTCGCACCACCTCGCTAAGGCGTTTGAGTCGTTGTTTGGCTCCATCACCTGTTTGCCCGGTTGCTTCACGATGTACCGCCTGCGCACGCCGGACACGCGCAAGCCGCTCTTCATCTCAAATCAGATTATCCACGATTACTCGGAGAACCGTGTCGACACTCTTCACCTGAAGAATCTGCTCCACCTGGGTGAAGACCGTTACCTGACAACGCTGGTTCTCAAGCACTTCCCTACATACAAGACCAAGTTTGTGCGCGACGCAAAGGCGCAGACGGTTGCTCCGGACTCGGCCAAGGTTCTGTTCTCCCAGCGTCGTCGTTGGATCAACTCGACCGTCCACAACATGGCCGAGCTCATCTTCCAGGAGAACTTGTGCGGTTTCTGCTGCTTTTCCATGCGTTTCATCGTCCTTATCGACCTGGTGTCGACGGTCATTGCCCCTGTGACAGTCGCGTACATCGGATACCTCATTTACATCATTGTCTCGACTCAAGGCAACATCCCCACCATCTCCATCGCCATGTTGGCCGCCATTTATGGCCTACAGGCTCTCGTCTTCATTTTCCGGATGCGTTGGGACATGATTGCATGGATGATCTGTGAGTTTACTATCGCCTGGAGACTTTTGCTTACTTAGTCTACATTCTTGCCATCCCCGTCTTCTCGTTCTACCTTCCAATCTACTCGTTCTGGCGCATGGACGACTTCTCGTGGGGTTCGACACGCCTCGTCGTCGGCGACGGCGGTAAGAAGATTGTCATTCACGATGAAGGCAAGTTCGACCCCAAGTCGATCCCTCTCAAAAGCTGGAACGACTACGAGAATGAGCTGTGGGACCAGGAGTCGAACCACTCGGACGGCACCTGGGGCCCTGGCAAGAGCGAGTACGTCGCCGACTACAAGGAGAGCATGTACGGCCAATCGCTGCACGCACAGTCGATGTACGGCGCCCCGCAGTCAATGTACGGGCACGGTTCAGTGTACCAGACCTCGCAGCTCGGCGGAGGCCACAACATGCGCTCTCCTCGCGGAATCTCGCCGGCCGGTTCGTACTCCGACCTGCGTGGCGCCTCGCGCGCTGGCTCATATGGTGGAGATGCGCCTCCTAGGGGCACATTCTATGCCGCACCAGCGATGGGCGACGCCAACTCGTACAGTGGTCACGGGCACGACGCGGGCAGTCTGTACGGCACCGGCTCCTTCTACGCGCAGCCGATGGGCCACCACACGCCCAATTATGGTCTCCCGCAGCATCACATGGGGGACACGGCACCGGGCGAGCCTTCAAGCGAGCAGCTCGAGCAGAGCATCCGCCGCATTTGCGACGGCGCCGACCTCGACACGCTTACCAAGAAGGGTGTGCGCCGTCAGCTGGAGAGCGAGTACGGCATGCCGCTCGCGCAGCGCAAGGACGAGATCAACCGCATCATTGAGGCCGTTCTGGCCGAGTAATTCACCATCACGTTACACACAGACAATGGACCTTGTTCACGAAATGACGACTGTTAGGAGTATAGGAGTATAGATGCATCTCACTAGTGCACGGATGCGTACCCTTGATTTGTACTGTTTCTCCTGATTTACCAGTTGCGGTTTCTGGGCATAAAAGCAGAGGAGTTGCGGAGCCGCGGCTTGCACCGAATCTATTTCCGGCGCTCCCAAGCACCCCAGACGCAACTTGTCAATTGCTCAATTGCTCAAGAGTCGAGGCCCACTGGCTGTAGGCCTCCCCTAACACGTTATCAATTATCAATCGGTGAATGCCGCATTCTTTTGGCAGTAGAATATGGTGTGGCCAGTGTGTAGTGTGGGCGATATTTGGCCGATTGCCGAGTTGGGCCTCGAATCTACTGCCGATCTTGTCAGAGTCCAGAGGTTGGCCCTCACTCCTCCAGGCCTTGGGCCTTGGAGATTGGAAACAGCGGTCCGAGCGCGCTGAGCGCTGAGCGGCCCTTTTCGCATTAAGCCACATTGCATGCGAGGCCTGGACACGCTCAGCAGATCAGCAGATCAATGTGGAGGCTCGTGCGTATGATCTCCAGACACGAGGGCATGCGGCCGAGCGCTTTTGTGAGCTTACGAGCTTACGAGCGAAGATGGAAGCGGCCACGCGAGTCCGTTTAGCGTCAACGTCCAGGCATTTCGCACTCCGACGGGACGCAAGGGAGTTTTTAGGGAGGTGAACGCCTAGGAAGCTAGCAAGGTATCCGTATATCTCGGCGCCTGAGCGGTCTATTCCCGTCTCACTACGGGGTGTATGGCGCACATGCACGTAAGCACATCAAGCTGCGTGGCCAGAGATGAAAAAAACAGAGGAGAGGTCATGTTGGTCGTCATATCGCGTCGCGTAGCGTCGCGTCCAAGAGTGGACGCTATGAGACCCCAGTTGCTCTGTGCCTGCTGCGGAGGCCGCGTCGCGACAGTGCGGTGAT